GCTTTGAGTATTTTATTCCAAACTAGATTAAGTTCATTTTGATTAGTAATATTTGATATTTTAGTTTGAAGTTGTGCGAGGCTTCGTGATGTTTGGTTTGAGTAATTTTCAAGGTTTTCTTTAGAACAGTTTTTCCAAAGGAAGTTTTTCCTTGTATGTTGTTTGGTAGGTTTTGTTTTAGTGATAGTTATAGATATATCAAGAGTAATGATTTTGTGATCTGATTCAGATGAGATATCTTCAAGAATGTCAGTATAGTCAATTTGAGTTATGCTTAGATTTGTCCATATTTGGTCAATTCTACTATTTGAGATTGAGCGAGCAAAAGTAAAGTTATGAGTTTGAGGAAAGAAAACTCGGTATATATCTTTGAATTGATGGCTAATTAGATATTTGAGGATTTGAGATTCAGGAATAGAAGTGTTTTTAGGAGGATTTCTATCCAAGCGTGGATTAGGAACACTGTTAAAATCACCAAGTATTATTAGTTGATAGTTGGAGTTGTTACAAAGTTGGATAATTTGTTCTTGGATTTCAGAACGTAGTTGTTTTTTTTCTGCTGTTGGAAGGTAAATTTGGAGAATACGAATGGAATTGTGTTTAAAGTGCAAATCAAGACCAATTATATGGCCATTATAGTTGTGTGATCTAGCTATATATTTGGAAATTCTATTATGTATGAAAATACCAACACCAGCTTGGTGAGAATTTTCATAAGAACTCCAGAAGCTGTTATAGTTTTGGAGTTCTTTGTTAATAAATTTTCCTTCTTTTGAGGTTAGATGTGTTTCCGATAGCCCAAAAATATCAAAATTATGTTGGTTGATTATATCAATTAGTGAGAGTTTTTTTGAATGTTGGAGTAAACCATTAATGTTTAAAGAACCAATTTTTATAGAGATTGAAATAATAGGTGAAAGAGTTGTTTGTAAAGAAGGTATATTATTAGTAGTTGTAGAATTTAAGTTATATGAATTAGAAGTAAACAAATTTAAATTAGTATCATTATGTGTATTAAATAAAATACTATCAGAGATAGTATGAAGAGTTGAGTATCTGAAATGTGATTTAATAGAAAAGTTATTGTATAGATGATAATGTGAACTTGGAAGAAATATGTGATTAGGTAAGAGTTTATATTTTAGATTTTTATAAATATGTATTTCCGTAAGTGTATTATTAATGAAGATTATAAAGGGTTTGTTAAAAGAGTTATTTTTTAGATGTTAGATAAAAGATAGTAGTGTTTGTTTAGATAGTAGAGTTGGAAGATTATGATTAATAAGAAAGATGTTATAGCAGGAAAGGTCCTTGAAGTTAGATGAAGAGTTGGAATTCAAGGAGTAAGAAGATGTTTCTGCAAGGTTACTCACCATTTTAAGCTCAGCTCGCACAGCTGCAAAAGATATTGTAGTCTTTTTAGTACATTGAACCTGACTGTTATTAACCCAGTTTTTCATATAAATAGGCTTTACTGCACACCTACTTATATCATTTTCTTCTAAAAATAGCCTACTGTTTGTAGAGTACATCATAATTTTAGAGGTGGCAGCTGCTTTAATATTACTTGCAGAAAGGTTTATTGAAAAGGAGGTTGAGAGGTAATAGGTTTAAAAAGATCAAAGTCATTAATTTTTTTAGGAGTGATATATTTGAATTCCTTAATAATAAGAGATTCAGCTTGAAGGTAATAGTCTTCATTGTATTTTTTCTGGATAAAAGAAATAGAAAGATTTGTACTACTTTGTTTAAGTATTTCAAAGTAGGTAATAATTCTGGCTAGAAAATGAATGTTTGTAATTTGAGTTGTAGCTTTTTTAATAGCTTGGTCATAGTTTAAGTTGAAGATTTCATCATTTTGAGCTGCTGCTTGAAAAAAAGCTTTAAAGTATTCATAAAAGTAGTAAGTTTGATAATTAATATTATGATCAGTTTTGTTGATTTCTATAAATTGTTTTTCAGCAGAATCAGCAAGTTCATGAAGAAATTTAATTGAAGTTAGAATTTTGAATGAGGCTGGATGTTCATTATCTTTGTAGAAGATTGAGAAGTCTAAAGTAGGATGAGTCCATGTTGGTTGATTAGACCTGATAGATGAACCTGATTTGTCAGAGACAGGAGCAGAAAATTTTTTGAAAGATTGATCAAAGTAATATGTAAAGAGGTTTTGAAAATTATGTTCAGTATTAGATAGAAGAACTGTACATTTATGTTCATCAGATTTTTGCAAATATGAACATGAAAAAGAGCAAGTTTACTAACTAATAAAGTCTGATCTTGAAGAAATGTAATAGATTCAATAATAAAGGATTGAGGTAATAGCTTTTTATGCTCTTTAGCATATTTAGTTGCAGTTTGATATTTAAGAAAGTTAAGAACTTTGGTTTTGATGATGTTTGGAGAATGTCATTTAT